CTGGATGTAGGACGGTAATGGCAAGTGTGACTACAATAATGATTGGGACACCTCACTAATTTAAGTTCATCATTGCTTACTTTTGACTTTGCCTCTCCGATGGCAGGTTCAAATGTTTCCAGCAAAGCCATGCACCTGCACTTAACTCTGTTTCGGTATGCAGGGCTAAACACCTGCAAGAGACAACATTAGTTTATTGGCAAGCAATGTGAGCCAGCCCCTGTCAATTAATGTCAAATTCCTATATATTGGACGTTGCCCATCTTTCCGTAATGCCCTACGCGTTTCACTAAACGCATGAACATAAGTGGCAATCGTTCCTACAGCACTTTACTCCCATGTTCGCTCACAATGCGTTATCAAAAGCAAGTGGATAATTGGAATTTAGAATTTAATACAGAGGTCTGTTGCAATCACTGTTAGATTTTCAGATTTTTCCATCTAACCTCCTGAACCACCCATTTCTTGAGAGTGTCAGTGATGTAAGAATCCACTGCCACGGTCAGCTCTGTTTTGAGACCACTCAATGCATCATCTATTTCTGGAGTCCACCTCCTGAACACAATGCATATCAAAACTCTGAAGAAAGCCACTGCAAATACTACAGTTTACAGTGAAATAAGAGGAACCTTGAGACACTGAATATTGAGAGAGGTCTCTTACTTAGAGAGACACTAGTTAGCTATTATTATTAGAGGGGCAGAATCTTAATGTTCTTTACAGAGAAGGTACTCTAGTAGGATGGTCTTTTCAGAGGTGTGACTGTGATTGAATATGTATAAAGGCATAAAATTATTGCTCTTCTGATATTCTACAACGATAGCTGTTGTGTGTATGCATAGAACTCACTCATATGCTTGCTCTTCAACTTTCATTCCAAAAAAATTCCTTGTTATAATAAAGTATTTTTAGCCTCTTTGTTGGCTGGTATAATAATATAATATACCTCACACTGTTCCAAATCCTCTTAAAAAACCCAATCCTTATTTCACTGAAGGAAGGGAAAAGTCAATATTGTTAAAACTGAAAAATAAACATGGCCGTGTCTTACGGTGCCTTGGTCTTTTCGTGGAGGTCCTTCAGAGTTAACTGCTGATTTTTCAGTACCTCGTCACTGACTACTTCCTCCCTGCTTCCTCTGTTGGCTGTGTGAGTAATATAATGTTGTGGCCTACTAGAGTAAAGAACACTGGGAGGCTGATAGCTACTAGTTTTGGAAACGCTCAATTCAGTTGTTGCCTGGTGACCACATGGGCCTAGATGTCGACGTAAAACCGTGACCACTCACAACCGTGCACAAAAGTTCCATGTTGTAGCTACTCGTGGGTCCAAGCAATAACCAGTTCCACAATAAAACTTTGTTGCAATGTTTTAATTCCCGCACCTCTCTCCCTGCGCAACGTGTCATCCGGAGGAGTCCAGTTTGGTGGCAAGATTTGACGAGCAATGTCGTCTACCTCGCGCTCGAGGTCCTCCATTTCTCCCAGAGACTCTCTGAACGCAGCTGCCACTCCCTCCAGTTTCATGTTGAACTGCTCCGTATTGAGAGTCCTCTCAGCCTCTTCCTCAAGGAACCTTTTCACCTCTGAATAGTAGTATTATCGTTTTGATTATGTGAATGTATGTGCCATTATAATTATTACACTAGTTTATATATGGGTAGTTGCAAGGTATCATGCGTGTGACTTAGTTCCACATTTAGCATCTCACCCTTCTTTCTATATACGATAGAGTACGAACAGCCCCCTTACCCTGCTCAAAATCTCTCGGCAAGAACGGTTTTCTTGGTCGTTCCACGTTGTTTTTCATTTCCTGAATCAAAGTCTTGACCATTTCTTCGATCCTGCCGTGAAGGAGGCGCTTTGCAGCCTGGAATGAGTACAGTGGAACCTTGGTATGAACGACATGCTGGGACCACTAAAATAGCCCTTTATACAGAGGTCTCTTTTATTACGAGGTTAAGAGATACATGAAAGTATTAGCACCAGATCGAAACAAGTGTAAGTGTCCTTTATTCAGAGTGACCTTTTAAAGTCTAATTGCTGTAGGAGTTAGAATAGCAGCTGTACTGACCTCAACATCAACGTCGTCATATCTCTCCTCGAGCCGTGTTTCAATCTCTGCCTTTGCACCTTTTTCACAGTAGGCCAGACCAGTTATCTGTCCCTTCTTGGCATTGTATCTTTCAACCAGAGCCTTTTGATCTTTAATACCTAATAAGAACATCATTCAGGAGTGATACTAATAATAGCCTAGTCACTCACGTTTTCTCTCTCTCTCGAACTCTTGCTTGCGGTTTTGAAGTGATGATTTAGCTTTTCTAAGGTAGCCAGCATATGAATTTGCCAGACTAATCTTCCAGATGTGAATACACTGCCGGATCATCCCTCTCAACCTGCAGACCACAAACAAACATGTAGCTAGAAAGTCAACTAGTTCAGCTTGATAAGCTATTCCTTGTAGTGGCCCTCTGATGCTGCATGTGTGGTTTCTCATTAATCACCATATAATATACTAACCACACACGTGACAGTTTTTTTTATGTTCTTAGTATATAACTGCATGCTTGATAAAATATTTTTTATGATCCAATTGAGATAAACCGGTAAAGACAGTTAGCTGTGCTTCAATACAGCACTTTCGTGCTTTCAGAACTTACTTGTCCTCCAGAGTGAGCAGTCTACTCATGCTCTCCAGGGTCCCAGACATTTCCTGGGGACCCATGCTCAGCACCCTCCCTGCCCCTGAGGCTGACTATCTGGGTAATCCTCAATGATGCGGCGGGCCTGCTTCTTTTCATATTCATTGTCGGGTTTGCATGGAGCCACAAAGCCATCTCGCCCCACTGCGCACTCACTGGAACTATTTCCACATGAGGTGGTGGATGGCACTCCACGGTTTTGGCTATGAAATCGAGAGCTGACTGCTGGAGTGTGCGAATGCTGTTAGCAACAGAGACTTGTGGGTGTCTGCTCAGCGATCTTAGGTTCCGGCTGTGCCGAAGACTCTCTTGTGATAAGCGAACATCATGCTTGTTGATGGCAACAATGAGTCTGCCATCTTGGAAAATCCCTGTAAAAGTCATATGAAGTGATGGGTTTCTGTGAAAATCACAGAGTTTGGAATTGCCTTTGCCTTGTGTTTTTTTTATTTAGCCCAGATTGGAGCTACCTTCTCTGGTAGTTTCACTTTAAATAGAGCACTTGTCTACAGAACAAAGCGTTGCTGGTTCGAGTCCCACCCAGACCCAGGGCAGTTATTTTTTCTTGAGAAAAAACGTGGCCCTAGGTATAGTTGATATGCTCTTAACTCGCATTGACACCCCCACTTAAAGGCAAATAAAACGCCCAAAACCAAGAACCTACGTCTATATATACCTTTGTCATGTTTGAACAGAAACCCAATGTTTTCTCCATCAATACTATCCTCCATGCTGGTGCTATCCATCAGGTAGAGGTAGGCAGTGCTGGTACTGAACAGCATATCTGTGTGCTTCATAATGTGGTCGACGTTTGCCTCTCCAAATCCCGGGGTATCAACAAGTGCAAGATTCCAGCCTGCTGGTGCCTCTTCGAGGATCGGGACGTAGGCATAGAGGACGAAAATATGACGTCCGCTCTGCTGCTCAATGCCAGAATCCCCCTGTCCAAGAAGAGTATGATAATTGCAGTAATGACATTTTTATAATTATACTAACCTTGTCATGCCACTGTACATTTTGCTCACGCAGTGCTTTAGAGATAGCGTCTGCACCAATAGCCACAACTTGAGCATTTTGTGCTGCAACTTCTTGTACAAGTTGTGGACATTTCCCCTGAAGGTATGCATAGTGCATATAAAAATACTGCTGTACTATCTACTACAAAGGACACTATTAATGATAAAGGTGTGTTTTTAACTCACACTGCATGGATCTTTGCAGATACCAGGATGAACTGTTCTGTCGTGTTTTATTTTGATCTCAATGCATGTCTCGTTGTTTTCACTAGTTGGAAGGCAGCTAAACATGTGGAAAAACAGCATTTAAAAACTCGTAATGGTGTGTGTAATAATGTAGAGATCTGGTGCACTTAATCAGTCTAAGTAGTTAACTACTCACAGGTTCCTGGTGATAAAGTTCAGCAGTGTACTTTTCCCACAGTTGTGGCGACCGAAGGCACTGATGATTACTTCCTTTCTCTGCAGTTGTTTTCTCTTCTCCTGAATGCCTGTGTTCTCGCGCTTCAAGAAAGGGTGGTTTTGCTCCAGTGACATCCACAACTGGTCTGCATACTAGCCAAGAAGACATTGTGTAAACAGCAGCGAAAAACCATACACGCGTAAGAAAGAGGGCGTTCCGCCTTCTGGTTTCATGATCTTGCTAGCTAAGTGATAGGGCAGCGCGCTTTGAAAGTCTAACTGTACGCACTCACGTCAATATGCGACTGAACTTCCATTTAGTTGGTAGTCCTGACCCGGCCGCCTCTAGTAAGAATCGAACGTTGTTCTGCCTTAGCATAATATTATTCATGGCGTAACCCGTGACGCATTAAAATCGCTACGGGCCGGGGGCAGAACCGTTCAACTCTGCGCATGCGCAAGAGTGCCGCTTGCAGTCTGCCGTGCGAAGGCCGGAGTGATTATCTGCACCCTGCTTGCTCAGTTTTACACAATGATAACGCAGGAACGCATGGTGTGGGGGTTTGGCAAACAGCTGGTCTTGCCACAGTCTGAGACGACACGGCTTTCGAGACTGATCCACCAGTTGAGCTGCCGGACACTGGAAGAGGAAGAATACTGACACACATACAGTAAGAATACTGACACACGTACAGTAAGAATACTGACACACATACAGTAAGAATACTGACACACGTACAGTAAGAATACTGACACACGTACAGTAAGAATACTGACACACATAGCTACAGTAAGAATACTGACACACACAATATTATACAAGTGGAAAAATCATTTCTTCAAAATGAAAGGGGGATATAGGGATGGCTTGAAGCACCAAAAAGGAAGAAACAAGGGGTCATCACACAGCAAAGTTGCACAAAGCTACATGACACCATCCCTATATCGTTGTTTTATTGTTTATAAGATCGAACAAAGATATAGGGATGGTGTCATGTAGCTTTGTGCAACTTTGCTGTGTGATGACCCCTTGTTTCTTCCTTTTTGGTGCTTCAAGCCATCCCTATATCCCCTTGTTCCACTATTTTTTAACAGCTTATGACAACACTGCATTTATTGTTACAGTCACTCTGATGTTCATGGGTATGTTGTAGATAGGCTACCATAGACAAATTGTAGTAGCTAATGGGGCCTGAAGCAGGGGCTGGATACCACATTCACCTCATGTACTGTGTTCAACACGGATGTAATTAGATTATTGCACATGGTTGTGGTTTCATTGGCAGGCTTTGGTAATCAGGCTACAACCTGGCGGGGACAAACAATGAAGGCCCATTTGACTGAGTGCCCCGCAAGGCTCCCGTAACACCTCGCAGACTCTGGCAAGTTGCTCTTCGTGCAAATCAACAGCAAGCTAGCCAGTTGCAAATGTGCACACTTACTTACAGAAGGTACTGGAGGCTGAGAGTTCCTCCGCAGGTCTGCCAACTCGCCTGGTGGGTATACGCTCGCAAGCGCATGTGGACGTACAACGCCCCTGCCTGGTGCATGCGCGCGGCTCACTGATGCTGAGTTAGCAGCAAATGGCGTTGTTCAGTGTCGACCTTGGAAGAGCTCCATGATCTACCGTAGTGACTAGCGGCGAGAAAGAAACGATCGCTTGATGTCCGTGCACACCTCGGGCGAAATTGGAGACGTTCAGTGAAAAAATTAGCGCTTCAACTTGTTCCAGTAAGGAGAAAGCGGGTCTAAAGAAGAAGAAGACAAAGAAGAAGAAGAATATTATGATGACACGAAAATCGTGAAATCGCGTATGAGCGAATTCTCGCGTGGACGACTGAAGTCGCGTATGAGGTCTTTGGGGACATGTATAGGTAGATATGGGCCCGTAGACTATTGCTAGTGTGTTTTGAAGGCCTAGGGAGTGATTTTCACCGAGTTTTTAGTCGTTTTGTACGCGGATCACGTGAGATTTTACCCGCGTCATCCCTATATAGAGAGTCTACCGACTCTCTAATTTACACTGTTTGATACACAGGCTCAGACTACTATCCCCTATACTTTTCTCAAAAAATCGACTGACATTGTGTCTTGGTCTGTGTGACTGTGTATTGTTTTATGTAGGTTGTGAAGCCCTTTGGAACCCCTCCCTTTTCTCTCTCGTTTTCCATGTCAAAGCGCGAGTTGTACATGAATGTACGTTACTAATGGTAAACACATCAGTAAGCTCAAACAGTTTCACACAAACTCTGGCACAGTTTCAAAACACGCGTGACACCGCCAATTACTTTGCCAGTTAAAGTTTTGATTAAAGTTTTGGGAATTTCCCTATGACCATCATTACTCTTCGGGTTTCAGATCTTACCTGTTCCTTTTTGGTGCTTCGAGCCATCCCTATATCCCTCTTTTTTCCTCTTGTTACTCTTAGGATTTCGGATTATGCCTTAGTATACTGCACTAATCATGTCGCAAACATAGCTACTCTAGTAATGCAGCAGACTGCAATGAGTTGCATCACCCAGCCTTTGCAGTATACGCATTGTGAACCTCCTTCATAAACACACTTGTAATATCTGTGTTAATGGTTGAATGCGAGATGAATTGGGCTGAATGTTTGACTTCTTGAGCACTTCTGATCCAGTGCTGTTCTGTTTACTCTGGCCAAGCATGCCAGACAGATTGGGGCCTTCAGACTAGCCAGACATGCTCTGGAGAAGATGCAGGTAGAGCTACACACTGCTGTTGATATATATTTTGGGGATGCAGGCATAATGTAATGGTCTTATATATGTATCGCTCAGTCCCTTAGAGTGCCACCCAGTCTCCAGGAGTCTGTGGACAGAATGAGTCTCACCATCAGATCCAATTCAAACCATTCCAGGACAAGGAGGTAAGCTGCATCACATAGCTTACCTTCTATATCAGAGCGTCGGTAGACACTCTATATAGGGATGACGCGGGTGAAATCTCACGTGATCCGCGTACAAAACACCTCAAAACTTGGCGAGAAAGACTCACCATTGCTTGAAAATCACTAGCAATGGTCTAAAGGCCAATACCTAGCTATACATACTCCCCAAGACTTCCTACGTGCCCTCAGTTCCCCACGAGAGAATTGGCTCTTACGCGATTTCACGATTTTCGTGTCATCATCATCTTCATCTTCCGGTTTCTTCTTCAGTAAACCCGCTATCTCGTTACCGAAAATAGTTGAAGTGCTGATTTTTCCATCAAACGTCTCCAGATTCGCCAGAGGTGTGCACGGACATCAAGCGATCGTCTCTTTCTTGCCGCAAGTCACTACGGTAGATCGTTGAGCTCCTCCACGGTAGTCACTGAACAACGCCATTTTTGCTGCATCAGTAGTAGCCGCATGCGCCGAGGAGGGCGCGGTGCGCACGCATTACATAGTCTCGCTCTACGAGAAAAAGCCAGGATGCCTGCAGAGGACCTCTCACTCGAGAAGTGAGATGGAGAGTAACACACACAGACCAACCCTCGCTGCGCATGCGCACCGAGGGTTAATAATGAAAGTTGTCTTCTTTGTACCTTACGAGAGCTCAAACGTGTTTAACTCACTTTAGACATTGCATTATATAGCCCTCAGAACAGGTAGCTAACTTTACACATCTAAGTCGAGACTATGCTAAGGTCCTTCCGTGTCATATTCTTTCTGATTTGAGACCGCTGTCATGCTGTGGGGTCTTTGCTCTTTGACTCAAGATTAATCACTCACCAGTTTGTCAGCAGTTTTGGCTTTAATACGACCGTCTCAGGTGCCTCTTCCCGGATCCAACTATCTCAACTGGAATACTTGGAGAGTGGTTCTGTGACAGTTGGATAATCTTTCTCAACATTCCGCTAGGTAATCATTTGGGCAAATAAGGATGCCTCTGAAATGAAGAATCCACCATTTCTTCTGGTTTTAACTGTGGACAACATTTGTAGTCTGACAATACAACATCAAATTCTCCTCATCACTTCACTGGCTCTCTATCGGAGTAATCACCAGCCTGCATCGGATGGCCCTGCAATTTACCTGTTCCCCTTATAACTGATTGGACAGAAGAAGGTGACAAAGTTGGGTGGAATTATTCCTAACATTTTCTTCAAGTTCCTAATAAAAGCCATGTTACAGTAGCAATGATGTTTGAATACAAACTTACAAGTAAAATACAGTTTCTGGTCAAGAAATGTCGAGAAAATAGCTGTAATCTCCAAACTGTTTATCTCGATACCTTGATAAACATATCTGTTTTATTGTTTCCAGAAGAGGCTAACAATTTTAAAAGGATACAATTCAATTATATTCTCACCCATTGTGGTTTTTTCCTGACAGGATGTCTGAAGGAGACGATTGCTTTCTTGTGCTTGCGACC